CACATAATACTTGTTTAACCGACCTACATCAGCTTTTGTGGTATACAAAACTCTTTTGTTTAACAGCTTACTTGAATAGTTAGTCAATTTGGTTAACTTATTTAGTTTCACGCTTGCTTTAACTAGGGTCCTTAAACGTAGTATCAAATTAGGAGCATTAGGCGGCACTTAAAAGGCCACCACGTGTTGTTTTTGTGTTAACTTTGCTTTTAAAAACTGTCTAGACTTAGTATGAGTTCTAATGTTTGTTAGGCTGGAATGGTTAGCTTTAAATAGCTAATGATTGTGGTAGCCAGTCTTAGACTACGCTGGGGTCCTTAGGCAATAGTGCAAGCCCTTTAGGAATGTTAATTTTTTTAAACGTTGCCCCACACTTAGCTTTTCTTCTGTATCGTGGCTGCGTTTACAAACTACAAGTTCACGTACACATGGCGCTCAGACCCGAAAATACAATTTGTGGGTTACGCAAACGTGCGTATACGTGCGGGAATCCTTCCCACCACACGCCTTATGTTGCGCGGCAGCCGGCAGCCCGCAATGTGTAGCGTGTATGTGTCAGTCGTAAAAAATGTCTATCCTTCAGGACCCTCTGAGGATGGGGGCTCTAGGTTGGGTTGCCTGAGTGCGTTTATGGTAAGACGGTACTGGCCGATGGTAGTGTTTACATGTGGTAAAAAAGAATAAGAATAATTAAGAATAACAATAGGAAAGAAAGAAAATCCATTTATTCTTGCGCAAAACACACATAACATAATTAAAAATAAAAATAAAATAAAATTAAAGCTGAAAAAATTAAAATGAAGTGAAGTCTTGTCCATGGTCCACAGACTTATTATTTTACTGAAATCATAGAATACTTAATAACAAATATTATCTGTGGACCATAGACAAGGAACACCCTACTTACTTGTAATAAGAACAATAACTTCATTATTAACACTTTCAAATTGTCAAAAAAAAATAGCGTATTCCTTTTTAATACGTCGCCAACGCCCCTGTGACTCCTCTGGTGTTGGTGTCCAAGGGCGGCGCTGATCGCTTACCATCAGGTGATGCGTCTGCTCGATAGCCTCCTATTCCATAAAAAAATGTCCTGTCATTAGCGAACTGCATTGATTGGTTAATCTTGCAGGCTAAGTCAAGGTCTTGTGTTTACCAGCAATAGTTGCATCAGTACCTGCCTAATGGGGAAATATACATATAGTCTGTACCATAGCACCTTTTAGTAGAAGAGTCCCATAGCAGAGGTTTGTCAAGAACATGTGCAGTAGTAGGAACGGTGTGGTTTTTATTCAGTAAGAGTCTGACACTCCCTCCTGCCTCACCTAGGCGGGAGAAGTCATTCAATGATTTGCCTCCCTTAAAAAAAATACTTCATCATGTTCCCTGGATAGATAGCAATAGCCCAGTGTCCTACATTATTAAGACACTAGAAATTATTTGTTTGCTTGTATGCTAGTTATGTATAACTTGTGAAATCTAACAAGTTTCATTTTTCCCACACATCATCGACGGAATGGCCTCTGTGCAACTGAAATATCGTAAAATACTCTTACGATACTATTGTTACATTTAATATTGTTACACATAGAAAATTGTTGAATATTTCAAGGCAAAAGTACTTTAAGGGGACAATCAAACTTGTGACTTTTTCGAAAGAAGTCGTTTGTTATTGTTATTAAGGTGTCATACGACGTTTTTATTCTACGAAACTTTAAATAGGCAATATTCTGTATGACTGTGGAAAGTGCATCTCGTAAGAAACAATGACAACATCATAATTATTTTAATCAACGAACATATTCATTGAGTTATTAATCAAACTTCCCATACGATATGGCATCGCGTGTCCATAGCAATTAATTCACAAATCTCTACTAGTACCTATGTTCTAAGGTCATTTATATTTTTTATAGTTTTAAATATAGCTGTATGTTCCTTGCCCATATTCCCAGGCCCTTGTCTAATGACCAGAAGTGAATAATCATTGGTTGTCACCTTCAAACGAGACACTGCGTTGACAATGTGACTCATTCCCTCAGACAAGTAGGGCGCGAGGTGATTTTGTTATAGGGTACTCGTATACTGCAGTGTAACAGACATGTTATATACTTATACTTTAAAATTTTCTGCTTTGTTGGTCTTTAGTTGTTTGGTTTGGGATCTTGGAATTTGGGATCTTGGGTAGGATTCCTATTTATAGTTGGGCTATACTGATACTAAAGACTTTTCTAATTTCATAATAGGGTAGATGACTATTTTTTATTTTAATTAGATTATTTAAAAACATTAGACACGTATTTTTTATTTTCTTACGGAAACGAACAGTTTCGAAGATATCTTGATTTCAAATATCGCAAGACGTCATTTTTGTAAATGACGTAGCTACCTCCCACTCCTAAACTTTGATTCGTTTTATCTAAGTATTGTTTTCTTATACGACAAACTAATATTTTTTTATTTATCTAACTGACGGACTAATTAGATTTAAATTTTCATACTCTGTCATCATCCCTATAATCTGTAGCGTGGAATGCCGAAAAATCCAGGCAATGGCTTTACCTGATATGAAATCAAACAATTAAATTACAGAATAAATGATAGAAACAATACTTACAACAAAAAAAAATAAACATAGACTAGAAAAATGTGGCTAGTATCAGCTGGTAATAACTACTTTTACTGAATGTGACAAGAAGTATAAGCAAATAATAAAGTCGTTTTGATTTATCGTCGACAATATCGTGAAATAAATCATGAACGTTGTAGTACTTTTATTTATTTTGATACAATAGTGGTTTTTGTGATGTGACGCGTAGTAAACCGACACCCGACAATTGTAATATTGTGTTAATAATTATTTTAAGATGTTCACAAATGCACAAACTGGGCAAATGTTTTGAAAGACAATGCTGAATTATTAGAAACAATAATAACAAAACATTGTAACCGTTTAGTAAGTACTTAATTTTAATACTGATACCATTTTAACAATATGTAATAATCTTCTGTCTCGGCTGCTTCGTTAGCCAAGTGTTGGGAAGTGCGACTCGGGGCAAGGGTATCTCGGGTTCGATTCTCAGTAAGTAGTAGCACATAGCTTGGAATCGTGCCCGGTATATAACATTAGACTCACCCTCTATTACTGGGACTCATAAATTAAATAGTGAAAAGTGGGTGTTATGTTGTACAATGGCATTATGTGTCGTAATGAGCACCTCTGTCTACCCCCTCGGAGACAAAAGGCGTGATGTAAAGTTATGTAATAATTTACGTAACTTTTTGAAGAATTTAGTTATTACACTAAATAAATAGCACATAACATTTCATTTAAATATGACAATATTCCTCTGGCTCGCAAACATCGCCACGATGTCTAACGACCCTTACTATTACACCAGACCACGGCACACGTACTCCAACGATATTTATATGTGAAACATTCATAATGGCGTCCGTACTGTTACTTATACGTTTATGACTTAACACTTTGTTTTTAAGTATTGTCTTAGTTTTATGTTGCAGTATTTTTGTTTATTTTTATCTACTAAGACTGCCTCGTTGAAAAAGGTCTCGGGTTCGATTTCCGGGTTGGAAAAATAGGTATTGGATTACTGGATGTTTAAAAAAATGTCAATAGTAGCACGGAGTCTAGAAATGTACACGATATATAGAAATAGGCTCACCCCCTATTACATGGGGCTCATCACATAAAATAGTGAAAAGTACAGCATTGAGTGATGTAATGTGCACCTCTGCCTATACCATCGTGGGTAAAAGGCGTGATGATATAAATAAAACTAATAATACAGGTTTATCAAAGAGCGCCTCTAATCGGTCTCCATCGACAGGGTTAACTAAATCATTTGTGTAATAGGTTATACACCGATAACTATTACAACTGATAATGTGGCGGACGTACGGGCGCTCAACACTGCTCTATAAGCAGGGTCTGTAATCGCTGCAGTGCTGTCCGTGGACGTCCCAACACACCGATGTGGATCGTTTGCTTTGCGGGAAAGAGAAAGAAAACAACGCTCTCGATCTTGGGTCGAACGGGATCGATCGTCACTGGTCTCGTCGTCGGTGTTTTCGATGTGCCGTTGATCGTCGCTATAGGTGAGTACTGCGCCGAGTACTCCGATGTTTCCCGATGATGCTCGATGATTCACGAAGTTGGCTTCTATCAGGGCTGCCTCTGTGTTACGACGACACACGCCGATTGTGTGCCGATAAGGTGTTTCGAATCTTTACCTTGACGAGACCAGCAAAATCGACCCGTTCGAACGCATTTATTTTTCAATAATTTTCACCATGTATGTACAGTTTGTGACCTTGTATTTGGTCAGGGTCATGAAATCATGTATGTTAGTTTACATTATTCTGTAGTCTAAGTCTGTTTCTATAACTATATACATCTATTTTAAATCTATTTTACATCTAATACATGTAAATGTCAAAAATGTTAGATATTGATGTGCCCGCCACGACAATTTTCCTCGTTTTCGCAGTTTTTTCGGAAAACTCTATTAAATCTATATATTATTGTTTATGTAATTTCGTGGCGGGAGCATCATATTTCGACATGCTATTACTTTCCATGATTTATTTCTTCTATTTCGTGATTTAGAGGTGGTATTGTGTATCTTTGATAAAACAAGCGCTATGAGATATCGTCGTCCTGACGTAATTACATGAACTTAACACTAATTAATTAAATATAGTGTCCTCTATTGTCACAAATCACATTATATACTATTTACATAGTTAAACTATTGTTCAATGTGTCTTTGCTCACGCCTTTGTTACCACTATTCACAGCTAATCTATTGTTAGTCATGCGTCACTGTTGCCAACACTATTCACACAGACTATTGTTCACTTATTGTACACTGTTTTTGTGCCTCGTCGCGAACATATCTCCCGCCGTGCAGCAACGCGTCACCAGCGCGTGAGGCGCGGGAGCGATGCTGCAAAGCCCTCCGTGGAGCGACGAGCCGTTATTTGGGCAGAGGGACCAGTTTCTTTACCGGTCGCTTGAGGATGCCCGCCGCTGTGCGCACCTCCACTGTCCGCACCTGTCCGTCAGGCCCCGGGTACGTGGCAGTGATTCTGCCGCGTGGCCAGGAGTTTCTAGGCAGCTGTCCGTCGGCGATAAGTACGGGGTCGCCGACTTCGTATTTGAGCCCGGTTCCATGTGGCTCCCGCCGGTGTTGTAGTTCGGGTAGGTATTCCCGTACCCAGCGTCGCCAGAACATGTCGGCGAGCGTTTGAGCGCGCCGCCAATATTTGCTGCTGTTGCTGTCGGCGTCGGTGAAATAGCCAATCGGAGGGAGTCTAGCGGACCCTCCGAGGAGTATATGGTTGGGAGTGATCGATTCTTCTTCTTCTAAGTCCACCGACACGTGTGTGAGAGGTCGGCTGTTTACGGTGTATTCCACCTCACATAGAAGAGTGGTTAGCACCTCTTCCGATGGGTGCCTTTCATTTAGCACGGTGTATAGTGCGGTTTTCACGCACCGAACTAGGCGTTCCCATGCACCCCCCATGAATGGCGCAGAGGGTGTTATGAACCTCCACACTATTCCTTTGCTGTTTGCTTCGTCAGCGACAGCTTCTCGCATTTCTTTGTCGGCGCCGTGCATGTTGGTGCCGTTGTCCGAGTATATTTCAGCGGGACACCCTCGTCGTGCTGCGAATCGTCTCAGTGCCATAATGCACGAGTCCGCACTCAGCGATGCGGCGACCTCTAAGTGTACGGCTCTAGACGTAAGACAGGTGAAGAGCGCCACATACCTTTTATGGTGTTGTCGCCCCACTGTCACTGAGAGCGGTCCGAAGTAGTCGAGCCCGGTATAAGTGAATGGCCTTTGATGGTGAGCGAGTCGGGATTTCGGATGATTCCCGGTGGCTGGCTGTGGTGGCGCAGCTCTGCGAATGCGACACATTAAGCATTGGAATATGATTTTCTTTGTTACTGGCCTCAGACGTAGCACCCAGTAGTGTTGTCGTATCTCATTTATTGTTGTTTCTGTGCCGCTGTGGTGCAGTCTCCTGTGCGTCCATTCTATATAAAGTTGTGTTATTTTGTTGTCGCCATCTATAACTGGCGGCCTCTTGACGTATTCGCCGACGCCTTCGGCGGCCGATATGCGACTTTTTATCGTGATGATGCCGTCTGTAAGTTCTATTGGTATCTGTCGAAGCTTGCTGTCGAAATTGATTTCTATATTCCCTGTGAGCGCTGCAATCTCTCTGTGAAAGGTCTGCTCCTGTGTTGCTTTTACGAGCAGTCTTTCTGCTGACCTGAGCAATTCCGCCGAAATTTGTTTGTGCTTTGTCGTTTCGTCTCGCTTCTTCTTTGTTTGGGGCGTAGTGCCTGCCCTATGTTTTATTTTGTTGTTGTTTCGACGCCAATCTGGGTCGCTCTGTAGGTTTTTTCTAGTTCTTTTGTACAGCACGTGCTCCTTGTGCTTCTTGCACAACTGTATAAATTGTAACACTCTTGCTGTTGTTCTCACTAATCGCTCCCATTTAGAAAATCTGGTGGCGTCTGGAATAGCCTCGCTGACCTTTAGTTGCTGTTCCAGCCTAACTATATTTACGCGCTCTTCGCCCGTCTGTGTATCACCTACGTCTCCCTGTGATGGCCACTGTTTTTCACTTAGGCGTAGAAATATGGGCCCTGTATACCATGCGTGAGCCGACTCAAAGTTTGATGGTACGTCGCGGGTGGCCGCATCCGCGATGTTGATTTTCGATGGTACCCATCTCCAATTGTTTACCTTGCTGCTCTCCTCAATTTCGGCTAGTCTGTGCGCGACGAATGGTTTGTATGACCTGGATCCACGCTTTATCCATGTCAAGACTGTTTTGCTGTCCGTCCAGTATATTGTCGGCGGATCTATCTCGTGTTCTTCTTTGACTGCGGCGGCTATTCGTGTACCCAGCACCGCGGCTTGGAGTTCTAGCCTCGGGATCGAAGTTATTTTCAGCGGTGCCACTCTCGCTTTCGCCATTACCAAAGAGACATTCACGTGTCCTTCCTCTGATTCTGTCCGCCAGTAGGCTACTGCGGCGTACGCCAACTCGCTGGCGTCTGTGAATACGTGTAATTGGACATTGGCCGCTGCGCTGTAGCCTGCATAACACCTCGGTATTTTAATGTTATTTAAACGATGTAACTGTTGGAGCCACGCTGTCCACTGCTTTGCTAGACTTTCAGGTAGGGTCTCGTCCCATCCCGTACCCTGCCTCCAGGCCTCTTGGAGGATCTGTTTAGCCTTAATGGTGACGGGAGAGGCTAATCCCAGAGGGTCATATAGGGACATCACAATTTTCAGCGCTTCTCTCTTGGTGTGTTGTTGTTTATGTAATATATTGCTAGGCAGTTTCAAGAGCTTCATGTTGAAGGCGAATGTATCTCGTTGGGGGTCCCACATTAAACCGAGTATCTTCTCCTCGCTATTTATTAGTTTGACAGTGGTATCATTAGTACTGAGTACCGCTTCTGGTTCGAGTGCCCTCGCTATGTTCGTGTGGGTAGACATCCATTTCCGCAGTACAAAACATGCTTTCTGGTGGATTTCTTTCACTTGTGTGGCCACTGACACCGCTTCCTCTTCTGTCTCAAAGCTATCTAAATAATCGTCCATGTAGTGGTTTTTAACGATCGCTTTGACAGCACGCGGGTATTCTTTTGTGTATTGTTCTGCGTTCCAGTTCTTCGCAAATATTGCCGTACACGGGGAGCTCGCTGCGCCGAAGATGATTGAGCACATGCGATACTCTCTAGGTGCTCCTTCTCTGACATCTCCTCGCCATAGGTATCTAAGTGCATCTCTGTCACACGGCTGTACACGCACCTGCATGAACATCTCGGCGATGTCTGCTGTTACGGCTATCGGGTGGCGTCTGAATCGCATCATAACGCCTGGCAGCGACTGTAGTAGGTCCGGTCCGGTGAGCAGGTAGTCGTTCAACGACATGCCTTTGGATTTTGCGGCAGCGTCGTGAACGATTCTTAACTTGTTCGGCTTCGCGGGGTTGTGTACATCGAAATGGGGCAAGTACCACGTTTTACCCGGCGTTTTTTCCACAGGCGCCTCTTCCGCGTAACCTTTGCGTACGAGGTCCTCTAATTGCTGGTTGTAGTTGGCTTTCAGCCCTGGGTGTTTGTCGATTTTTCTTTCGACGGCTAGGAGACGTTTTACAGCGTTTTCATAGCTGTCTGGCATGCTAACAGTGTTATTTTTCCATAACAGTCCGGTCTGTACACGTCCGTCCTCAAGTCTGCACACGCTGTTGTGCAGAATCTCTTCTGCCTGCTTTTCAGGGTCACTTTTCGGTCGGCGAGGGTTCACTATTATCGATTCTAGGGCGAAATATTCTTTCAGGCGACGGTCGATACTATCATCGTTATTGCATAGTTGGTACATGAAATGTACACGTTGTCCTAGAGCTCGCGAGCGTGCTCCGTGCAGAACCCATCCCAGTGGAGTGAGCGATGCCACTGGTTGGTAACTCGGCCCTCGTCTGGTCTCGCTGGCGATAAGGAGGTGCCAGTTGTCCTGCCCTATTAACACTCTCGGGACCGCTGTTTTGTACGAAAGGCTCGCGGATAGATCCTTCAGGTGTTTGCAATCTCTGAAATCCCTGGGTGATACTCGTTGTGGCGTTAATTTCAAATTAGGCACCGTTCGTGCGCTAATGTCGAACGTCCTTGTCTCTGGACTTTGACCTCGAAGTTTCATTTTTATTCTGTATGACTGTGGTAGATCTATCGATGTGTCTCCTATAGCTTTAATATTGAGAGGGTCAGGTTTCCCTGGTGCACCTACTTGCGTTACTAGCTCCTCGTCCACTAGTGAGACGGTGGATCCATCGTCGAGAAGGGCGTATGTACGTACCTCTCCCGCCGGTCCTGAGACACACACTGGCACTATCTTCAGGAAGGCTTGTGCCTTCGTACGAGCACTTGAACTAGCCACTGTTTCCGTTGGGTCCTTGACACTAGTTGAGTCACCTTTCTGTTTGAAATGTAAGCTTTGGTGATGTGTACGTGAGCATCCGTCCACACCGCACTGTTTGGATTTACACGAATGGCCGCGTGACCTCACTTTTAAGCACCGAAAACACAATGCATGTCTCTTAGCTAGCTCCCAGCGCTTGTTGGAGTCAGCCTGTATAAATGTGTCGCACTGAGAGGTAAAGTGTCCGTCGCGCGTACATATTTTACAGTTACGCACTTTGGTCGTGTTGTCACTGTCTTTACTCACGATTAGCGTCCTCTGAACGGTTCTGCGCGCACTATCACTCGCGTTCACATTTTCAGCGGGCGCGAACGCACTACAATAACGCGCTTGTTCACTGATGAATTCACTGAAACACTTTAGGTCCGGCGTCGATTGAAACTGTTCTGTGTATGCACGATACCACTGGGAGCGCAGGGAGTTTGGCAGCTTCTCAGTGAGTCCTCTCAGTACCTCCGCGTTGATCAAGTAGTGATCCTTCCTGAGGGCGCTCAACGTGATGACGGCACTCCTCACTTTGTTAGCGAATGTGCAAATGTCTCTTGGGGCCTCGGTGCAGCGTGGAAGACTCTTTATTTTATCGATTTCCGCTTGCGCAATGGAGTCAGGTCGGCCGAACTGTAATTCCAGTTCCTTCATTATCTCGGCCGGATTAGATTCCCCGATGAGTTCGGAATTCACTGCTTCAAGTGCACGTCCCTTTAGGCTTCTTCTCAGCCTAGCTGTATTTTCCACATTGTTGAAGTACGTTTTCGTAGTGTCGTACATAGCCTTGAAGGACAACCACTCTGTGTGCGCGCCGCTGAATGTGGGTAGCGCCATGATCACCTTAGATACCGCTGGGTGAGGCTGGCTGCTCGGTGTATCTGATTTTCTATCGGCGAGTGTTGTGATTGCCTTCGTAAGTTGTGAGACGAACGATCTTAGTGGGTCGTCGTCTCGCTCGATCTTGATGGAAGGGCTTCTGTCTCCGTATCGTGTCTCCTTGTCATGATTGTCCTCGGTCGGCCTGTCCTCCGGTTGCTTGTTGGTGTCCGTATTTCGCGGCACCGGTCTAGGTGCGTCCTCCACCCATGAGCGCACATAGTCTGCTTTCGATCGAGCGTCGTCCTCGTAGTCGGAGTCTATGTAATCTTCGGCCTTTTGTAGCTCTAATTCGGCTAACTGTAGTTTGAGTCGCAATACATCTTCGCGTGCTTTTATGGCTTTTCTATTGTTCTTTACTGACGCAGGTCTGCTTTTGTGAATCGGTTGTTCTTCTACACTGTGCGCAAGCGTGCGTGTTGAGAACGCGGCTGGCCTTATTGTTCTTGTTCTATTTTCGATCCGTGGTAGTCCATAGTCTCTGTTCGGTGTCGACTCTCTCCTCATATCTCTATAGGCGGTAGGTGTAGATATGGAAGCTGGTCTCCCTGTTGCACGCGGTGGAGTCGTGCGATGCGGTGAATTCGCGGGGCGTGTCAGAGTCGCGGGGCGCGGCGAGGTCGCGCTGCGCGGCAGGTTTACACGGCGCGGAGAATTCGCGGGTCGCGATGTCGTGGAGTGTCGCGGCGGAGACGCGCGACGCGGCGGGGACGCGAGTCGCGGCGGAGACGCGTGTCGCGGCGGGGGCGAGTGTCGCAGCGGAGACGCGTGTCGCGGCGGGGGCGAGTGTCGCAGCGGAGATGAGTGTCGCGACGCGGGGCGCGGTGGTGTCGGCGGCCGCGGTAGGTAGGTGCTTCGTGTGGCTATCGATGGTGAACGGGGCGGCTCTTCATGTCGGACCGCAGCTACGTCCACGATCCATGCTTCCGGGGCTTTACCCTTTGATCGCGTTGTTGGCATCTTCCTTCTTCTTTCAGGATCCGGCTCGAAGGACCATTAAATGTGGCGGACGTACGGGCGCTCAACACTGCTCTATAAGCAGGGTCTGTAATCGCTGCAGTGCTGTCCGTGGACGTCCCAACACACCGATGTGGATCGTTTGCTTTGCGGGAAAGAGAAAGAAAACAACGCTCTCGATCTTGGGTCGAACGGGATCGATCGTCACTGGTCTCGTCGTCGGTGTTTTCGATGTGCCGTTGATCGTCGCTATAGGTGAGTACTGCGCCGAGTACTCCGATGTTTCCCGATGATGCTCGATGATTCACGAAGTTGGCTTCTATCAGGGCTGCCTCTGTGTTACGACGACACACGCCGATTGTGTGCCGATAAGGTGTTTCGAATCTTTACCTTGACGAGACCAGCAAAATCGACCCGTTCGAACGCATTTATTTTTCAATAATTTTCACCATGTATGTACAGTTTGTGACCTTGTATTTGGTCAGGGTCATGAAATCATGTATGTTAGTTTACATTATTCTGTAGTCTAAGTCTGTTTCTATAACTATATACATCTATTTTAAATCTATTTTACATCTAATACATGTAAATGTCAAAAATGTTAGATATTGATGTGCCCGCCACGACAATTTTCCTCGTTTTCGCAGTTTTTTCGGAAAACTCTATTAAATCTATATATTATTGTTTATGTAATTTCGTGGCGGGAGCATCATATTTCGACATGCTATTACTTTCCATGATTTATTTCTTCTATTTCGTGATTTAGAGGTGGTATTGTGTATCTTTGATAAAACAAGCGCTATGAGATATCGTCGTCCTGACGTAATTACATGAACTTAACACTAATTAATTAAATATAGTGTCCTCTATTGTCACAAATCACATTATATACTATTTACATAGTTAAACTATTGTTCAATGTGTCTTTGCTCACGCCTTTGTTACCACTATTCACAGCTAATCTATTGTTAGTCATGCGTCACTGTTGCCAACACTATTCACACAGACTATTGTTCACTTATTGTACACTGTTTTTGTGCCTCGTCGCGAACAGATAATTTCAAAATTAAAGTAAGTAGGTACACAAAGACTAATCTATTTATCTTTACAATTAAACTGTGCCTACATTTACTTAAACCTAACTAATTTCCCACCGAAAATTATCACCAATTATCGCCAATTAATGGGCAGAAATCGCCAAAGTTGGCGGTGTAGGTTAAATTAAATGTTCATGGCAACCGTGTCAAGGGTAGGCAGTGGCCATCAATAGTGGTTTGAAACAAAGGCTTTGTATTACAATCCTTACATACTTGTTTAGACTTCCTCTACCTTCATACATTTCTTTATATTTTATAGATAACGATAACATATTTTGTAGATAACGAAAACGATAACGATGGCAGATTTTGTGCACACCTAAGCAAAGATTATTGTCCTTCTAAATTCCTAAACCTAGGGGTCGTGGATGCGCATCTAGCCTGCGGAAGGCGAGCATGGGTGGCTCGGCGCCCGACCAGAACCAAACCCTCATACGCTCGTACGGCGCCGTGCGTACCGTGCGCGCCTCAAAGTGCCATCAGACCACCACGAATGGGGCCCAATAGGGCTGATACCGATACGTAGTCGCGAAGAACTTAACGGGTTACCGGGTCTCCGGCTCGAAGTGCAGGAGTAAGAACGGAGTGGTTTTTAGTCAGTAAGAGTCTGACACTCCCTCCCGCCTCATCCGGGCGGGAGAAGTCATTCGATGATTTTCCCCCTTAAAAAAGGGGTCATAGGTAAATAAATACCCATACATAATTCCTGACAAACTTAGGCTTTTGATTTTTGGGTGAAACAATATAATTAGACATTTTATTTACACTATCTACACTTGATAAATTCCTATAATTGTTTTTTATCTGTTACGACAGATCTCGTCTCAAACTTCATTATGTTTTCTGCTATGGAAAAAATGTATCATTGTATTTTATACCTTAACACCTACATTTTCAAATTAAAAACAATTCGTCGTTCTTTGACCCCTAATATAAAAACAAAAGAAACAAGTACATCTATGACTTATTTAAATTAAAATTTTAAAAATTAATTTAGCATAATTACTATGTTTCCTACCTGGGATCTCTTTTTTGATATAATAATCATTTATCATTGGTTTTTTGCTATAATATAACAATAATATAGGGTTTTTTGATTAATTATTATTATTATTATTTTTGTTAATTATACGAAGGTTACTTCTGTGTGTAAAGGGCTGACAGAGATCAGATACATATTAAATCACTTAGTTGCTTAATTATAGTTTTGTCTTAATTGTTTGTTTACATTGGCAATTAAGGCCTTATAATCAACTATTGTTATGCTGGAACAGATGTTACTGCAAATTATGCAGTTTCGATATAAATTTCAGAGGCATTAGCTATTGTTAAAATAATTTGTCTGCTTTGGTTATTCGTTTGGAGGTATCACCCTAAGATGGATTAACACAGAATGCCTAAGGAATTAAGCCGCCTTTTTTATGGTAAAAGCCGGTAAGTCATCGGCGTCGCCAATGGACACCTGGAACACCAGAGGCGTTATAAGTGCGTTACAGGCCCTTGGAAATTGAGGATTGTTGGAGACTCAGCGATTGGAGAGGTTGGGGAACGGGGTAGTTGGGCCTCCGGTAACCACGCTTACACGAGGAAACACAACGCAAGCGTTGTTTCATATCGGTTTTCTGTGACAGTCTTCGTACGGAATCAATCTTTCTTTTCTTATCAAATAACTTTCTATCCCCAGCATATTAGGTAAGTACAATGCGTATACCTCTACCATGTCGCGGAGAACCTAACGGGTAACCGGGGCTCCGGCTCGTCGTGCAGGAGAAGGAACGGGGTGGTTTTTAATCAGTAAGAGTCTGACACTCCCTCCCGCCTCACCCAGGCGGGAGCAGTCATTCGATGATTTTCCCCCCTTAAAAAAAAATACCTCTACCACCCTTCAGTAGGCATAGCATTATGTATGTATAGAACGAAATATATTACCGTTATTTTACATAACTAACAACCGTAGACCTAAACACATAACCTCACTTCCTTACCCGACAAAAAAGTATAAAATTATTCACAGAAATTACGCAGATGTGTATATACTCATGTTACAAAACCTTAATTAATTAATAAGGTAATTTATCTACAACTGTAAACTACAATTGTTGCCTTGAGTTAATTAATTTGAGGCGAAACACTAAGTCTGTCTATAATGTTTGATGTTATCTAGAAAATTAGAATGCAGTGTAACTTTTCATGTAAAGTATTTAGAATCTTGCAAAATTGATTTTTTTTTGTATACCAGTGCAGTGGCACAAAGAGCCAGGAGCATTACTTTATTTAAACTGTCCAACACCAAGCGGTCACCGGTGACTGCAACCTATTAACTAATATATATATATATTCTATAATTGTGTCTATAATGACGATACTCGACAAGTTAAACAAGAGTTTATTTTTTTTTTTTTTCTTGTATAGAAGCATTATTTTATATGGATTGTCAGTATACATATATGTGAGGACCATGTCAGACTTAAGATATTTGTTTGTTGGTTTTGTTTTTTTATTTTAGTACGTTCTGTTATTTGTATGTTGCGTCAGGTATGTCTTTACATTATTCTCACATGTGTGTACACTGTACAATATTGGAATATGTATCAGAGCAGTGTAAAACAGACTTTTTTTAAAAGAGTAACGAATGGAGTTTCTTGCTCATTCTTCTCCACTCGAATCGACATTTTGGAACGAGCGCCTAGCTTCACTGACGGACAGACTGACAGACTATTATATCATATTTGTTGACGTTTCAAAAGTACCAAATTATGGTTTAATTGAAATAAATGCTTTGAGTTTGAGTTTGAGCCCACACACCCACCTTCAACACAAAAGGAACAAAAGCCATAACTACGGAAAATTGAGGAAAAATCATCGTGTACGCCTTGTATATCTATTGTAACATGGTCATAACTTCTAAAGTAATCTCCAGCTGCAGTTTTTGAACTCCGTAACCTGGTTAGTTTGACAGATTCATAATACCGATTGGATGCTATTTCATGATTTAGGGAAATCTATGATGTTTTGAGAATTGACAGTCTAGCTACAATTTCCGTTGTTACCTTACTTTTTAGTGTATCCTAGCCAGGAATCAAATACATAATAATATGAACTTTTTTTTGAAGGAGAAAATCATCCAATGACTCTTCCCACCCGGGTGAGGCGAGAAAGAGTGTCAGGCTCTTAAAAAAAACTACCCCGTTCCTACTTCTCCTTGGGGTTCCGACCGGAACAAAATATGACCTAAGACATGAATCTCCAATCAAAATAACAAGTATATGAACGGGTAATAAATGTCCATCAATGAAATAAGTACTGCATTAACTCTGCCGTCATTTCAAATACTAAGACACGCGTGCATGTATCGTGCATAATTTGTTCGAGCCTTAATTGTTTTGAAGCACGAACGTTCAATATTTGTGAAGCTTCAATAGTGCATAAGAAACATTGATTTGTGGATTTAGTGTACGACTGTACATGACAACAAGTATGTTAATTTGTAAACGGTGGTAATGAAATCGTGAAATGATTAATTCTTGTAGATAGCCTAAGAATTAGGTTCCCTTTATACGTGAATATTTGAAAATCAATATAGATTACTCTAATATTTCTCATCTATTTACTCTGTGGAGAAACAACGAAACAAACTGATTGATAGGAGACTTGAACACTGGTGTTAACAGTAATTATGTATACCATAACACACTTATTATCATCAAAATACATACTTATACAGATCCACATAGTCTTCAATTTGTCCAAAAACTCCAACAATAGGGTCCTCAATAAAACCCGGTACTTGTGATAGTCCCTAATTTATCAGAATGCCAATCTCGGCGGATTCACGCGAGCGATGTAAGAGGTACAAATGGTAAGCGCTGGGTATCAGTGGTCGCGATCCTCGATAGTATCGCGCGG